GGGGAGTTTTACCAAACATTCAAGGAAGAACTAAAACATATCCTCCTCAGACTATTCCAGAAAATTCAAGAAGAAGGAACACTTCCCAGCTCATTCTATGAAGCCAGCATCACCCTAATACCAAAACCAGATAGAGACAACACAGTGAAAGAGAATTATAGGCCAATATCCCTCATGCTCTCTTTCTTTTTTGGTTTTTGAGGATTTTATTGATATAACCTCCAACTCTTTCCTTATCTGTGTCCTGTCTGATGATAAACCCATCAAAGGCATTCTTCATTTTGTTTTTTATCTTCTAGCACTTCTTTTTGATTCTTTCTTAATCCCTTTTTCTGCTGACTTTGCCTACTTGTTCTATGCATACCGTCTACTTTATCTATTAGAGTCTTTAGTATATTAATTATAGTTGTTTTAAATTCCAGGTTTGGTAACTCCAATATCCTGGCCATGCATATTTCTGATGATTCTTTATCTTCAAATTGTGTTTTTTTGCCTTTTTTAAAAAAATATATTTTATTGATTTTTTTACAGAGAGGAAGGGAGAGGGATAGAGAGTTAGAAACATCGATGAGAGAGAAACATCAATCAGCTGCCTCCTGCACACCCCGAACTGGGGATGTGCCCGCAACCAAGGTACATGCCCTTGACCGGAATTGAACCTGGGACCTTTCAGTCTGCAGGCCGACACTCTATCCACTGAGCCAAACCGGTCAGGGCTTTTTTTGCCTTTTGGTATGATGCTTGCTTTTCTTTTCTTCTTCTTCTTCTTTTTTTTTTAATAGCCAGGCTTATTATACTGGATAAAAGGAATGGCTTTAAATTGGCTTTAGTACTGTGATGATGAGGTGTTAGGGAAGTCCTATGATTCATATCTCATTCGTTTAGTGAGCATATGCCTCTGGACTATCAACTTCACAAGTGTTTCTCTTTTTTTTAAATATTTTTTATTGATTCAGAGAGGAGAGATAGAAACATCAATGATGAGTGTCATTGATTGGCTGCCTCCTGCACGCCCCCTACTGGGGATCGAGCCCACAACCAGGCATATGCCCTTGACTGGAATTGAACCCAGGACCCTTCACTCCACAGGCTGACACTTTATCCACTGAGCTAAACCAGCCAGGGCACACAAGCGTTTTTTAGTGGCACGCCCCTACCCCCGTGGGGCAGGATGGTTTGTGTAGGCTGGAGTTACATGTTTCCCTTCCCAGATCAGTTAATCTCTGATCATAACCCTGCAGGTTAGGCTCTGGTTTACTAGTTTCTCCAGACGACAGGCTTTGTTAATTAAGGTTTAGTTCTCTGGCATATTTCAAAATTGTTTCTTTTCCCTTCAGTCTGCCAGAAGCCTGAGGAAAATTCTCTCTGATACTTATTGTGCACTTGTGCTCCCCATTCCCTATATAACTGGGCCCCCCCTGGAGTTAAAACTCTCAGAGTTGTCCACACTGAGCCTCTAGCAATTCGTCAGTTGCAGTGCAGGTGTTCCTATTCCGTACTGGTTCTGGTGGTGGTTTTGTGTAAGTTCCTGTTCTGGTAAGCTGTGGTATGACGTGTATTCGCCTCTCTTTCCAGTCTTGGGGGCAGTGGTTTGCTCTTGTTCTTCCTTCTTTTAAGGATCCAAGAAGAATTCCTGATTTTTCGGTCTGTTTAGCTTTATACTTGCTGTTAGGATGGAGTGGTGACTTCCAAGCTTCTTACATGTGAACTGGAAACCTGCATGTAGTAATTTAAACAAAGCATTTAAGCCCTTAATGCCTGTGGAATGTCAGAATACTGGGAAAACTTGATGAGATCACTAAGAGGCTCCTTTGGAGGCCCTGTATGAAATGTTTATTTTAAAATCGATTGCAAATTCAAACACTTTTAGGGGTCACCTCCAGGTGTATAGTAGTTTGGTTACAAGAATATGTAGATGTGTAATCCTTGGTGCCCTTGAAAAAACACATTTCTGCATATTCCCCGTCTAAAGGAGATACTTACTGATGGCCTACTATTTTCCAGTTACCTTTACATAAACAGTCAGGAAACTACATGTTAAACAAAAACCTACATTGGTTGAATATTTACAGAAAAATTAGTCGGCTCAAGCGAATATGCCTGTGACTGTGTCAGTTTGCTGATTATAATGTAGTACCTGGGAACATTTCTTTTCTTTTTTAGATTTGTTTACTTACTTTCTCAGTAACAAAAGTTGTATGTAGCCCTAGATGGTTTGGCTCAGTGGATAGAGCATCGTCCTGCGCACTAAAGGGTCCAGGTTTTGATTCCAGTCAAGGGCACATACCTCGGTTGCAGGCTCAGTCCCCGGCCCTGGTCTCCCTTGCCCTGGTCTGGGCACGTGCGGGAGGCAAACCAATCACTTACATCGATGTTTCTCTGTCTTTCCCCCTCCCTTCCACTCTCTCTAAAAATCAATGGAAAAATAGCCTGGGATGAGGATTAACAATAACAGAAAAGCTGTATGTACGTATGTTATGTGTGTATGTGGCTCTGTGTATGCAGCCTGGCATCCAAGGAGACCAGAACTCAAAATCAAAACCTCAGAACAAATTTATAAAACTTTACTGTAGACTTTACACGTGATGTACTCCAGTCAGTGAATCCAGTCTTAGGCATTAGTCAGTATGCTTTTTGGCCACAGTAACAGAAAATGTAATTGTGGTTGAAACATTAAGTGTAAACATTAAGTGTATTCTATTGGCTCATATCAGTGTAGAACAGGGGTCCTCAAACAGGGGCCTAGTTCACTGTCCCTCAGACCGTTGGAGGGACGGACTATAGTTTAAAAAAAAAACTAGTCGGCTGCTAAGCAACAGGCAGCTGCGGCAAAAACACCCGGCGGGCCGGATAAATGTTTCCGGTGGCCCGCGGGCCGTAGTTTGAGGACCCCTGGTGTAGAAATAGGGCAGAGTTCAGGATTGGTTCCTGTCATTCAATCTTGTCACAAAGGATCTTGTTATAAGGATATGTGTCGGGCCTTTTAGGAATTCGGTTCTTTTCTCTGTTGATTGGTTACTTTTCCCTAAGTGCTTTTGTTGGTGACAGATTCTTAAAATACCTTGAAATTATTTTCAAAATGTTGTGTGTTCATGCTACTTTCTTCTCCTTAAGCATCTTACTTGCTATTATCACACTCTCCCAGTACCTGTGACCTACTTGATTGCCATCTCTGCCCATTTCCCCCCAATCTCAAGTCAGGGAAGAAAGTATTGCTTCTGAAACAATAAAGAACACACATATGGCTACTGTTCTCTTTTCTTATAAACCCCTCTCTTTCTTTTCTTAAAGGAATGTTTTCCATTTGGATTAAGAAATATTGTGGAATTTGACAAGAATAACAGTGTCCTTTAGAATAAGCAAACTTGATATAGTTGAGTCTGAAAATGGACCTGTCTAGTTGCAAGGGCACTGACTCTGAAATTAAGAGTCCTGTGACAATTCTGGCCATGATTGTTTGTGTCTTTGGGGGAGCATTTGGGCCTTAATGCTCTGTTATATACATGGGAATTTAAAATCTTTCTAAACATTTTCCTAAAGTGTTTCTTTATCATAGAGCTTGGCTTAGGACAAATGCTCAATACAAATGTTTTACAAATTTTAACACTTTGAGCCTTTTCCAGTTGGTCTCATCACTTTCATTGAGACTCAGAAGTTTGAAGATGAGCCCTAGAATTCTGTGGAGAAATCCAAGCTGGGTATATTTTTGTAGCTACCATTAATCTCCAAATCAGACATTCATTAAAACTCATGAAGAAAGAAGTTCACCTTAAGTGACTTTTCTCTTGGATCCTGAATTGTTATTCATCTACATACTCTTTTTGGTTTATGTGTATTTCTTATCTACTTTACTTTTTTGTTTAAAAGGAGGGGGGGGGGGTGCGGCAAAAGAAAAGGCTTCACATTCATTTTATAAAAGGCTTTACATTCTTTTTATGTTATGTAAAAATTATGCCAATATTGGGAATATATGTACTCAATATAATTTATTACTCTGCTTTACATAGTTGTTTTGAAGATTAGTTTTTAAATTGATTTTTGGAAAGAGGAAGGGAGCCAGGATGGGGGGCAGAGAAGCATTGATCAGCTGCCTCCTGCACATCCCTTACAAGGGATCGAGCCTGCAACCCGAGCATGTGTCCTGACCAGGAATCAAATCAACATTTTGGTGCATGGGGTGATGCCCAACCAACAGCCACACCAGCCAGGGCTGCTTTACATTTTGATAAGCCTTTTGGACTTATCTTTGTTTTACTTGTTTAGGAATTTACAATTATTAGTCCCTGGTTATCAGTCACAGCAGCAATATCAGTGGCATGAAAGTTGTTGCTACTGTATCTTTTCAGGCTGTGTCTCAACAGAAGGTGTTAAGAGCTGCCATTCCTGATGAAGAACTTGAAAACCTTCTATTTCAAAGCATATGTCCTTTTTTTCTACCCCTGATGTGTAATCTTGGCCTAAGGTGCCTTAATAATTTTTAGACTTCTTTTCAGCACCAGAATCATTTCTTCAAAGATTTTTTTTGGTGGCTCTCTTTATAAGACAGGCAAATCTGAAAACCCCAATTTTTTTTAAGGGGTGGGTTTCAGATGGGAGAGTGGGGATTATTCCCTAAGGGCAAGAATCTCCACAGAGCACAGAATGGAAAGCCACTCAAGTCTCCGTGCATTTTGTGTTTTCTGATTCTCGGTGCTCAGGTTCTGGTTTCACAAGGCAGGAATTTTAATGGCTTCACTAACTGTTCCTCCATTTTTGCTAGCAGTATCCTATCAGTGGTTAAAAGCATTCCCCAGATAATGTTTGTGCTAATCTTTCTTTCAGCTTGCTGAATTGCCCTTATGGAAGTCGTGGCACTAATAGAATTTAATCTTAATACAAAAGCAACAGAATTGAAAAGGAATCAGAGATGATGTAGGCTTACACGTGTGGGATGCTTTTTCCACTCTTGAACAAAGTTCCTTAAGAATGAATCTTGAGTTCTCCTGTTCTGTAACCAACAGGAGGACTCACAAATGGCAGTGGAAGATACATCTCTGCTGCTCCAGGCGCGGAAGCCAAGTACCGCAGTGCGAGCAGTGCCTCCAGCCTCTTCAGCCCTAGCAGCACCCTTTTTTCTTCCTCCCGTTTGCGATATGGAATGTCTGATGTCATGCCCTCTGGCAGGAGCAGGCTTTTGGAAGATTTTCGAAATAACCGGTACCCCAATTTACAACTGCGAGAAATTGCTGGGCATATAATGGAATTTTCCCAAGACCAACATGGGTCCAGGTGAGGACTTGGCTTTGGCACTTAAGGTAACTGAAATCTTAATGCCTTAAATTCCATTCCTCAAATACGTATACACTAAGTAAATTGCTATAAAATAATTGAAGCAGTTGCTTCTTAGTGTACTTTCCATTATTTTAAAGAAACTGGGATTATGAAGGTCGCCAGATACACGAGTGATTGAAAAGAATCATTTAGAAATTGAAGTTGGGATCACATACATAATTAAAATAAACTTTCAAACAAGCCTTTTTACCTTTCTGAAATATTAGCCTGATGTTTCTAATTCACGAGAACCTCACAGAATGGCTACAATTTAAGAAACAGAAACACTACCACAAAGCATATATCCGCACATGTTTGCTATTTGAATCCCTGTTAAGAGCTACTCAAATATAAGTTGGACCTCTGCTTGCTGCTCAGGATTAAGACAACTCCATCACTTTTTTGTTGTTGTTTTATTCTATAGAAGTGAGAGTCTGAATAGAGGTGAGAGAAGCAGCTCTTACAAAAACAGAATTTGGCTTGGGTTACTTCCGCCTGTTTGACTATTCATTTGGCTTCACAGAAAGGAACTCTGGTCCTGGGGAGAAAGCATAATTATGATGTTGCCCATCCTTTCCTATTTGTCTCCATTTCTCTTTCTCTCTGACTGTGCCCACTGAAACAGCTTCTACAAAACCTACTTTCTCACTAAGTTCTGCCAGCTTGCTATTGGGCAAGGATTTCTCATATTTGGATCCTGTAGACCAGATTGAAAGACACCATGATTTTTCTGATAATCATCTGAATCAAAGAATTGTTATTTAGATTGGCAGATTGAGTAGCCACTACTTCAGACATTTATAACAACTGTTCCACATCCTTAATGAGTATTGCTTCATATGAATATGAGGTGAATAATATAGCAAGGACCATAAGCTTTAATCCTCTTAATGTGGGACTGGTTTCTAAAGGAAAAAGTTCTCCTTGTGTTATGCCCATCTTCACCCTCTCCTCTCTTTTCCTATTTCCCCTTTTCGCCTCAAACCCACATATAATTACAATTTTGTACATATGTCCTACTGTAATGAAATATGCTCACACTTAACCCTTTGAGTGCCAACCAATATCCTAGAAACTATGCTAAAATTGCCAAGGCATTTTGAGTTAAGGTTTTTAAATTTTTTTTCCCACATAAAGAGTGAACTACTAGCATCTAATAGTGACACTGCAGGAGGAGCGCGATAGCGCTCCCAGCACTTTTGGCGAAAGATAGGAGGAGCGCAGTCGCGCTCCCCGGCACTCTAGGGGTTAAATCTACTTTTAAAAGCTCAGTTAAGTTAGGGTATACTTCACACTATAAACATTTTTTCCTTTTTAGAAATTTTTCAATTAAGTGAGCTCTAGGGATTCATTTAAATAACAATTGTATTTGTGCACCCATGTGCACCTGCACCTGTGTAAATGTACACACATATTTTCAGAAATGATTCATTATACAAATTGAGCTAATTCTTATTTATTTCCAAGTCTTTCTAAAATGCTGTGATTGCCCTTTTACTTCGCACTTCAGATTCATTCAGCTGAAACTGGAGCGGGCCACACCAGCTGAGCGCCAGCTTGTCTTCAATGAAATCCTACAGGCCGCTTACCAGCTAATGGTGGATGTATTTGGAAATTACGTCATTCAGAAGTTCTTTGAAGTAAGCCTTTGTACTTTCTATCCTTTGACTTTAGAGACTCTGCAGAGCATTTTGATTTTCATTAGCTGTTTTTAGAATTGTCATCCCATTCCAGTCCTCAAAATGAAGTGTGTGTGGGCTTTTTAAAGAATTTTTAAATGTTTTCCAATTCATTTGCAGATGCCAGTCTAATTTAGAACTGTGTTTGGAGAATCATTGTCCCCATTTAGCATCTCTAGTACGTTATTTCTGGTTGTTACCATAGTTTTACTAAAATGTAATTTTTTGAGGAAATAATTCTTGTAAGATAATTTTAGCGAGACCACAATAAAGTGTTCTAAAAAAATGAATTTTTTTTTTTTTAGAATTCCTAGAGAATTATCTTTGAACACCAACTCTACTGTTTTTCATCATAAACTATAGTCGTGAAGATTGTTAAACACTTACTGGGTCATCCTTCGGCCTTGGTTTCTTAGTTTTCCTCCATGAATGTGAATAATGGCCACCTCTGTTATCATTGTCTTTGGAAAGGATTAATGAGATTGTTGGGTTAGGTCTGTTCCCTTAGTTAACTAAACTCTTAGAAAGGTGGGGATTCTTGGTTTACCATTATAGCCCTGGTGCACTGGGATCAACAACTCCAAGCTATAAATCCAGAAAGAAATGAAACATTGAGGTGAAGAAATGAGTACAAGGGAAAAGGACTGGAATTGTACGTCTTTGCCACAGAACAAAATAAATTTGTTAGCTTCTTATGTGTTATTTTGTTTGATTTATGTGAAGGTTTAAAAAGTGGCTCACTCAGCCTATGTCTTCCTAACTTGTCTTGTAAAGACTTAAGTTCTTCGACACTTAACTCTCCAGCTGTGGACTAAGAGTCCAACCTAAACATGACTTGCAATTTTGATTTAGAATATCTTTTCACTTATTTTTGTCATAGGTAGAAAAATGTAGGAGCCTGCAGCTCCAGATCTCTGTAGCTAGTGGTAGCCGAACAAACAGTGGCTTACAGCCATGTGATTTGGGACAAGCTAGAAAAAGGTCCCTGACTTAGAGAAAGTGGACCTTAGTTCCCTTGTATAGAAAATGAGTGGGTTGGGCATAAAGTCTCTTGAGTCTCAAGATTATGCTATTCAAACAAAACTAAAAAGCCAAGATGGAAAATCATTCTAGGAAGAGTTTTAATATTGTGCAGCTTTACCTTTTGATTTTCTTTTTCCTCCTGACTCGATTTCATTGTATAATAGATAATACATATCAGTTCTTGGAATGATATTGAACACTAATTCAAAACAGTGCCCCCATATGTGCTTTGGCTTAAATTTCATATAGATGAAAGAACTTTTCAATCCCTGGACCTCAGATACCTCTAAAGTGCTGTTGATTTTCTGTAATAAGTCCTTGAATCTTCCCCAGACATTTTGTAAAGCCCTATGAATGCTGTCTACCACATGTATTATTATTTTAGAGTAAACATAAATGCTCTTATAATTAATCAAGTATAGATTATTTCGTAGTACTAATACATCAGCTTTGATGAATGACATTTTTGTTTGGCAGATATTAATAGTAAAACCACTACTGTTGATAGCTGAGAAATTTTTTTAAAATTAAAAACTGTTCCTCATAATCAGAGACTGAAAACTATTCTCTTGAAGAAACAAATGCTTTAAAAAATATATATGTTATTGATTTCAGAAAGGAAGGGAGAGCCCTAACCGGTTTGGCTCAGTGGATAGAGCGTCAGCCTGCGGACTCAAGGGTCCCAGGTTTGATTCCGGTCAAGGGCATGTACCTTGGTTGCAGGCACATCCCCAGTGGGGAGTGTGCAGGAGGCAGCTGATCAATGTTTCTCATCAATGTTTCTAACTCTCTATCCCTCTCCCTTCCTCTCTGTAAAAAAAAATCAATAAAATATATTTTTTTAAAAAAAAGGAAGGGAGAGGGAGAGAGAGAAACATCAATGATGAGAGAATCATTGATCGGCTGTCTCCTACATGCCCCCTACTAGGGATTGAGCCTGAAATATGGGCATGTGCCCTTGACGGGAATTGAACCCGGGACCCTTCAGTCCATAGGCTGACACTCTATCCACTGAGCCAAACCGGCTAGGGCAGTGGTCGGCAAACTGCGCCTCATGAGCCACAATCTGCTCTTTGGCCCCTTGAGTGCGACTCTTCCACAAAATACCGACTTTTGCGCATGGGCCACGAAGTTTCAATCACACTGTACGTGCGCGACTGCACGTGGTATTTTGTGGAAGAGCCACACTCAAGGGGCCAAAGAGCCGCCTGTGGCTCGCGAGTCACGGTTTGCCGACCACAGGGCTAGGGCAAAAACATAGGCTTTTTAAACAAAATGTTTTAATCATAGGTGACCAGGCTAAAGGAGGCATACCAATGGTTTATACAGAATAACGAATGCTTTGCTTTCTCTGGTTTCTTTCCGTCTGCCTAAGTAATGGTGTTCACCCAAACATTATGTCTAGTTTGGCAGCCTCGAACAGAAGCTGGCTTTGGCAGAACGGATTCGAGGTCATGTCCTGTCATTGGCACTGCAAATGTATGGCTGCCGTGTTATCCAGAAAGCTCTTGAATTTATTCCCTCAGACCAGCAGGTAATTGTAAGTTTCCCCTTTAACTTTTCTCTTGGTGTTTGATGTTTCTCCATGGCACATGTAGTGAATCCTGTAAACTTGCCAGCTTTTACTTTTCTTTTACAGTTTTTCTTTGGTGCTTGTGGCTGCCGTTCTGTGCATGGCAAGCATGAACTGTGCAATTTGTAAATTTATAGTAGATTAAGTGTCTTGTGTTAAAACCAGTGGTTTCAAACACTCTTCAACAGTCTTTAGTAGGTGCAATTTTACAGGTTGTTTTTTTGTTTGTCAAGACTTGAAGGCTGTAAAATACTAGTAACTTGTCATTTTCTTCAGCTTGAACTGACATTTCAACAAATCAAACTTTAATCCAAACCACCTTCCGTTTTCCTTCATTTACTCTCTCTTATTCATCCACCATACCACCATTTACCCAAGGAGTGTCTTCCCAGTGCAGTGGCTGGCCTGGCACATTGACCTGATGCCCACTTTGTGCCAGACACCAGCACAGAGATGACCAAGATGATCCCTGCCCTCAGAGCACAGTGGGGAAGAGCGATGGGAAGCAGTGGTGAGAACATGTGCCCCGAGTCTTGGAAGGAAGGCTTTAAAAAACAACAACAACAACAAAAAAAAACCCCAAAACCTCACCAGAGGTTATTTCCCATTGTTTTTTAAAAAAATATTTTTATTGCTTTCAGAGAGAAAGGGAGAGAGATGGAAACATCAGTGATGAGAGAGAATTATTGATCGGCTGCCTCCAGCACGTCCCACACTGGGGAGCACACCCTACACTGGGGATCGAGCCCGAAATCTGGGCATGTGCCTTTGACCAGAATAGAACCCAGGACCTTTCATTCTGTAGTCCGACGCTTTATCTACTGAGCCAAATTGGCTAGGAGTTCCTTTGAATTTTAGAGAGAATGGAAGGGAGGGAGGGGAGTGAGAGACAGAGAAACATTGATGTGAAAGAGGTATATTGCTTGGTTGCCTCCCACATGCACCCTGATGGGCTGGGGATCAAACCTGCGATTCTTTGGTGCTTATGCCAATGCTCTACCCACTGTGCAACATTGGCACAGACTGAAGGAATGCTTTGCACGAGGAGAAGTCCACGCTAAGGAGGAGTCAGACAGGAAAAGAGAACAGGGACAGATCGAAAGCGCTGGGTACTGTGAGTGGGAGCTGACCAAGAAAGCACCTGCAGAGGCCAGTGATTCAGGAACAGTCAGAGCAGGTCCATCTAGCCCCACAGGACCATAGGGCCCAGGCAGCCAGATTAACCCCCAGGTAGGTGTGCTGCCAGCCTTGAGGTGCTTCTCATCTAAACCCTCAGCCTTTGGGCTTTGAACTCACTCAGCCCTTCTCAGTGGGAGAGGATGCCTTGGTCTGGCAGTGATGAGCCACTTGCCCTCACTGAGAGCAAAGTTCAGTGATGAGAATCTTTGTTATGGACTCGAGTTCTGAGCCAGACGAAGCACCTGCCACCTCCAGTTCAAAGCAGAACAAAACAAAACACTGCATTGGTGTTGGTGATGGCAATTGAAGGCTGGGGGAGTCCAAAGTCCTTGTGGTGTGAGGCTCCTGGAAATGCGGGTCAGGAGGCTGGTGAAGGCAGAGGGAATGTTGGAGACGTACAGCAGCTTGGAGTTTCTTCATTCAGTGCTCAGTACTGGAGACGCTGCAGTGATACGGGGTGGTGTGTGTAAGCAAATAGAAGCAGGGTGAGACTTATTACTAGTAGTTTTCTTCTAATGTTCATATTATTATGGTTTTAATTTTACCTGGGATTTTCAGGGATGAAAATTTCATGGTCAAATCTCTCTTTAGTTTTCTGGGTGTTTTTGAACATGGAAGTTTCTTTCTGATATCTATCTATCTATCTATATAGGTATCTATAGATAGATAGATAGATAGATAGATAGATATTTTAACAACTTTAAAGCCCATTTACTGAAAGATATCAGGAATATTATAGTTTCCTGGCTATTTTTTCCATCTTTGCCCTCTCCCATGATTGTGATAACTTGTTGATTTGGTCTCCCAACTTTTCAGATTTCATTATTTTCTGATTGGATCCCAACATTATAGTAGTTTTCTACCTTCCTTCCCATTCCCCCCAGCTGTTGTTCTTTCTATCCTGCATTTCTGTATATCTTTTCCTGGTCTGGTTTCTCTATGATAAATTGTTCTGGGTCTGAACTCCTCCTCCTGCTATTGATAATTTTTTGTTTTCCAGATACAAGTTTATTATTTTATGTGAAATGGTTTAATCTCTAGTGGTTTCTTTGGGCTCAAGAAAATATTTAGGGAAGCCACCTCCCCTTCATTTCCATGATAAGTCTTCTTTGCCTTTATATAAACATCATTCTCTACTTATCAGTCCCATAACTATATTTTCAGGATAAAGCTGGGTGTTTTTTTTTTTGACATTTGATTGCTTTAGGAAACTTTCCCAATTTTATTGCCTTTTGCTTGTCTTTGGCATTGTAACCTTAATTTTTTTTTTTTTTTTAAATTAGAATATCTCTTAGATGCCTTGACATATTCACCATCTCTGGAATTTAAGACATTGCATTCATAAATGTCACCATTTTAAACTGGCTCGTAGCCTTCCACCATAAATATGGAGTCATTACAGTGGAGCTAATATATAGAGATTGGGCATAGCAAAGACACTGGATAGTGAATACCAGGTTCCAGACATGCGTGGTGCAGGTATTCAGCTTCAAGATACATGAGACCCGATGCAGCAAGTTTGGGGGAAGGTCTCTAGTCAGAATCTCATCATTCTGTTTTCTATACCCTTGTCATCTCCACTTATAACCTCCTCACACAAACCCCTCAATGCCTGTCCTGCTCCTGTATTCCCTGACTTTGGACACTTTTCATCAATTAATTGAGAGTACTGTTTCTTCTACATTGCAGTCACTGTGGCCTTGTGGAAGTGTGTTGGCGTCACAGACCTGGGCTATAATTCTGCTTTAGTCACTAGCTATAGTTTTAAATACCTTGCTTAATTAACTCTTTGAGATTTAATTTTTTTTTAATTAATTAACTTCTTAATCCTCACCCGAGGACCTTTTCCCATTGATTTTTAGAGAGAGTAGAAGAGAGAGGGAAAGACAAATATCGATGTTGAGAGAAACACATCAATTAGTTGCCTCCTGCATGATGCCTGACCAGGGCCTCGGCTGGGGGAGTTGCCTGCAAATGAGGTACATGCCCTTTGACTGGAATCAAACCTGAAAGCCTTCAGTCCCCAGGCCGATGCTCAAGCCACTGAGCCAAACTGGCTAGAGCGAGATTTAATTTCTTTATATATAGGTTGTAAGGAGGTCTGGAGGATAATAAATAATTGACAGGTGGTTTACTGACACACACTGTTTTGTCACACATAGGAACCATATTGCTTGTGTTTGAATCTTGGCAGTTTAGGTCTGTGATTTTAACAAGTCATTTAATTTGTCTGTCTTGGGTTTTTTATTTCTTTAAAAAGTATTTTTTATTGATTTAAAGGGAGAGAGAGAGAGAGAGAGACATTAGTGATGAGAGAGAATCATCGATTGGCTGCCTCCTGCATGCAAGTTGTCGTCGTCGTCGTCCCCCCCCAATCGGGGATTGAACCTGCAACCCGGGCATGCACCCCACCTGGTTCATGGGTCGATGCTCATTCACTGAGCAACACTGGTGGGCTGTCCTGGTTTTCTTTCTTTCTTTCTTTTTTTAAAAATATATTTTATTGATTTTTTACAGAGAGGAAGGGAGAGGGATAGAGAGTTAGGAACATCAATGAGAGAGAAATATCAATCAGCTGCCTCCTGCACACTCCCCACCGGGGATGTGTGCGCAACCAAGGTACATGCCCTTGACCGGAATCAAACCAGGGACCCTTGAGTCTGCAGGCAGACGCTATATCTACTGAGCCAAACTGCCTAGGGCTGTCTTGATTTTCTTATCTATAATAGTGTCTAGACCAGGGGTGGGCAAACTTTTTGACTCGAGGGCCACAATGGGTTCTTAAACTGGACCGGAGGGCCGGAACAAAAGCATGGATGGAGTGTTTGTGTGAACTAATATAAATTCAAAGTAAACATCATTACATAAAAGGGTACGGTCTTTTTTTTTTTTTTTTTTTTTTTTTTTTTAGTTTTATTCATTTCATAGTTTGCCCACGGCTGGTCTAGACCATAGGATTATTATGAGGGTTCATTGAGTCAAAGGATGTTAAGCAGTTAGAGGTATGCCTAACCTATCGTGAGCTCTAGATTAACAACTATCATTATTAATATTACATATCTCACAGAGCTGTCATAATAGAAACATGTTGAATTGCTTGTGAAATTCTCTAATGAGGTGTACTTGATATAGGCTCCATTCTATTTGAAGATGTCTGCATTAAAAAAATATTTTTTTATTGATCTCAGAGAGGAAGGGAGAGGGAGAGAGAAATAGAAACATCAGTGATAAGAGCGAATCATTGATCAGCTGCCTCCTGCACGCCCCCCTACTGGGGATTGATCCTACAACCTGTGCATGTGCCCTTGACTGAAATCGAACCTGGTACCCTTCAGTCTGCAGGCCAATGCTCTACCCACTGAGTCGAACCAGCTGGGGCAAGATGTCTACATTTTTAATCTTCCAGAGGTCTTTTGCAAGTTAGAATAGTTTTTTAGACTGGTTACTGTTACAGGAGGTTTGCTAACCTGTGGAAAAACTCTATTCATCATTTATTGCCATAGTGTGCTGTCCCTAAGCTGTTCCACTTTCATTATCATGATTCTCTCCCTCTTCAGTGCTTTTGTGTTTGGTAAGGAGAACATTGATTGTCCAGCTGTTTGCTTGCTGTGATTCTGGTGGTGCTTTCTTTCCCTGTCTCCAATAGAATGAGATGGTTCGGGAACTAGATGGCCACGTCCTGAAGTGTGTGAAAGACCAGAATGGCAATCACGTGGTTCAGAAATGCATTGAATGTGTGCAGCCTCAGTCTTTGCAGTTTATTATTGATGCATTTAAGGGTCAGGTAAGTGACTTGGGAAAGAAATAAGGGAACAAATTAATGTGGTATTTCCACTGTGGGCTGAGAACAGGATAGGATTTTTGGAGTGTTCTCAAGTGCTCCAGTAAATTGCAGCTCTGTTCACTTGTGTCAGGTGCTTAGCTCTGTGTACCCAAGTCTCTTTCTTCCTTTAAGTATCTGTGGATCTTCTGTCATTACTGCAGATGTCTGCTCATGTTGGGATGAGTTAGTCATCAGAGTTGTTAAAGGTAAATCTCATATTTGAAGAATAGATTTTTTCCTTTGGTTAAGTACTATTTATGTTGATATTTAAAAGTTTTGATCACATTTTAAAAAACAAGGTGTTTCCTGCTTAATTTTGGGGAGGATGGGATGGTGATCAGATTTATTTGAACTGTATTAAGTGACAATAGCTTCAAATTTTTCTGAGTTAACTGTATGTCATAAGAGCCTATATGTGCCTCCGCCCCATTTTTTTTAATGCAGTGGACAGTTTAAAAATATACATTTTTAATTGATTTTAGAGACGGGGGTGAAGGGAGGAAGAGAGACAGGAGAGGGGAGAGAAACATTGATCGACTTCCTCCTGCACACCCCCTATTGAGGATTGAGCTTGAAACCCAGGCATCTGCCCTCACCAGGAATGGAACTGGTGACCCTTAAAAAAAAATCCACAAAACCTTGTGTACTTACTCAACAGCCTATATAATAAAGAGGTAATATGCAAATTGACCATCACACCCTTGTACAAGATGGCCACCACAAGATGGCCTGCAGGGGAAGGCAGTTGGGGGTGAGGGTGGGGAGACCAGGCCTGAGGGGCAGTTAGGGGTGACCAGGCCAGCAGGGTAGAGCAGTTGGGGGGGGACCAGGCCGGCAGGGGACAGCAGTTGGGGGCGACAAGGCCAGCAGGGGAGGGCAGTTAGGGGTGACCAGGCCAGCAGGGGAGGGCATTTGGGGGCAACCAGGCCAGCAGGGATGGGCAGATGGGGACAATTGGGCTGGCAGGGAAGAAGTTAGGCATCCATCTGGCTGACAGGGGAGTGGTTAGGGGGTTATCAGGCTGGCAGGCAGAAGCAGTTAGGGGCAATCAAGCAGACAGGCAGACGAGCGGTTGGGAGCTAGCAGTCCCGGATTGTGAGAGGGATGTCCAACTACCCTGTAGGATCGGGCCTAAACCGGCAGTCGGACATCCCCTGAGGGGTCACAGATTGGAGAGGGTGCAGACTGGGCTGAGGACACACACACACACACACACACACACACACACCCCAGTGCATGAATTTTATGCACTGGGCCTCTAGTTATATTATATAACTGGAGTAAACTGTAGAAGCCTACAGTATTATAAGTAAATATTTAAAACATAATGTTGAGTGAAATAAGTTGTTTCCGACTGTTTGTGTTTATCATATTTATAACATTATAATTGTTCAGAACCATACAGTATACCATTAAAGTATTTAGTTTTGCACATGAAGCTACAGACATAAAATCTACACTAATAAAAGACAAACATGCAAATTGACCATACCTTCGCTGCGCCTTAAGCCATGCCCACCAGCCAATCAGAGCGACTATATGCAAATTACCCCAACCAAGATGGTGGCTGGCAGCCATGGAGCTGGAGCAAGCAGGAGGCTTGGTTGCCCCAATGACGGAGGAAGCCAAGCTTCCCGCCTACTGCGGCAGGCTCTGAGCTCCACTCAAAGCAACAAAGTTTCAATTATAGAAGGTAAATAAACCCCAGATACTTGCTTTCAGCCAGCTGTGGCCACAGAGCTGGAGTGAGCAGGAGTGGGTTGCCCCTGGTGATGGAGAAAGCCAAGTTTCTCTCCCACCCTCCCTGGCCGGCTCTGAGCTCCTCTCAAGGCTACAAAGTTTCAATTATAGAAGGTAAATAAATCTCAGAATAAAAAAGAAAGAGGCTGGGAGCTTCTGTCGTGGGGGGGTGGGGGGGGGTTGGCTAGCCTGAAAATGGCCCTCAGCCCCTCACCCAGGCTGGCCAAACCTCCATGGGGTGAGGGTCCCCACTGTTGGGGGGCTTGACCAGCCTGCAAACAGCCATCAGCCCCTCACCCAGGCTGGCCAGGCACCCCAGTGGGGACCCCCACCCTGAAGGGGGTGTGACCAGCCTGAAAACAGCCATCAGCCCCTCACCCAGGCTGAGCAGGCATCCCAGTGGGACCCCCACCCATGCACCTGGCCTCTATCCTATATAATAAAAGAGTAATATGCAAACTGACCCTAACAGCAGAAAGACTGGGAATGACTGGTCACTGTGACACACACTGACCACCAGGGGGCAGATGCTCAATGCAGGAGCTGCTCCCTGGTGGTCAGTGCGCTCCCACAGGGGGAGCTCTGCTCAGCCACAAGCCAGGCTGACTGCTGCCAGTACAGTGGTGGTGGTGGGACCCTCTCCCGCCTCCTCAGCAGCGTTAAGGATGTCCAACTGCAGCTTAGGCCTGCTCCCCGCTGGCAAGTGGACATCCCCCGAGGGCTGCCGGGCTGCCAGAGGGATGTCTGACTGCCAGCTTGGGCCCTATCACCCCCCCCCCCCCCCCCCCCAGGGAGCGGGCCTAAGCCAGCAGGTGAACACCCTCTGAGAGGTCCCAGACTGCAAGAGGGCACAGGCCGGGCTGAGGCCCCCCCGCACAAATTTTTGTGCACTGGGCCTCTAGTCATATATAAAGCACTTAGGGCAGTGACTGGCAGTAAACATTTAATAAGTGTTAGCTGTTGTTGCTGTTCTTACAATTATTGTCATGATTCTTTTTCTTTCTTTTTTTTATTTTTATATATTTTATTGATTTTTTTTACATAGAGGAAGGGAGAGAGATAGAGAGTTAGAAACATCGATGAGAGAGAAACACCGATCGGCTGCCTCCTGCACATCTCCCACTGGGAATGTGCCCGCAACCCAGGTACATGCCCTTGACTGGAATCGAACCTGGGACCTTTTAGTCTGCAGGCCGACGCTCTATCCACTGAGCCAAACCGGTTTCGGCATGATTCTTTTTCTTAAAAAATATTTTTATTGATTTTAGAGAGGAAGGGAAAGGGAGGAAGAAATACCAATGAGAGAAAATCCATTGATTTGCTGCCTCCTGGCCACCTCCTACTGGGGATTGAGCTTGCAACCCAGGCATGTGTCCTTGACTGGAATCAAGCCAGGGACCCTTCAGTTCACAGGCCAACGCTCTATCCACTGAGCTAAACTAGCTAGGACTCATTATTCTTTTTATATTTTCTATTTTTATTAATTTCAGAGGGGAAGGAACGGGAGAGAGACAGAAACATCAATGATGGGAATCATTGATTGGCTTTCTCCTGTAAACCACCTACTGGGGTGGGAGCCTGCAACCTGGGCATGTGCCCCGACCAGGAATTGAACTATGACTTCCTGGTTCATAGGTCAACACTTAACCACTGAGCCACACTAGCCAGCCTATACTTGTTTTTAAAATCCTCACAATGAAGATATTTTTTCTTTAGAGAATGTGGGGGAGGAGTGTGTGTGGGAGAAAGGGAGGGAGGGATTGGTTGCCACTCGCATTCGCCCCAACTGGGGCCAGAGATCAAATCTGCAACCCAGGTTCGTGCCCTTGACCAGGAATAGAACTGCGACCCTTTGGTTTACTGGCCAACACTCTTTTTTTTAATAAATATATTTTATTGATTTTTTACAGAGAGGAAGGGAGAGAGATAGAGTTAGAAACATCGATGAGAGAGAAACATCGATCAGCTGCCTCCTGCACATCTCCTACTGGGGATGTGCCCGCAACCCAGGTACGTGCCCTTGACCGGAATCGAACCTGGGACCTTTCAGTCCGCAGGCCAACGCTCTATCCACTGAGCCAAACCGGTTTCGGCACTGGCCAACACTCTTAACCACTAAGCCGCACCAGTAGGACAGTTGTCATTATGCTTGACTAGAGGCCCGGTGCATGAAATTTGTGCACTCAGTAGGGCGCGTGGCTCCCTCAGCCCTGCACCCTTTCACAGTCTGGAAGCCCTTGGGGGATATCCAACTGATGGCTTAGGCCCGCTCCCCCTAGGCCTAAGGCAGCAGTTGGACATCCTTAGTGCTGCTGCGGAGGCGAGAGAGGCTACCGCCACTGCCGCTGTGCTCATCAGCTGTGAGCCCAGCTTTTGGCTGAGCGGTGCTCCCCCTGTGGGAGCGCACTGACCACCAGGGGGCGGCCCCTGCATCAAGCATCTGTCCGCTGGTGATCAGTGTCCGTCATAGCGACCAGTCGTTCTGCTGTTTGGTTGATTTGCATATTAAACTTTTATTATATAGGATAACAGATCTGAGGTGCAAGTTTGGCTAGGAAGGGCAGAATTGAGATAGGACACCTGAAGCCTGTGTCTTATCTTGGACCAGACCCAATAAAAAAGCTTTACACCCCAGTTTGATTCAGAACATTTCTTTGTGATTATGTGAAAGCACTTAAGATTTGATTGCAGACCTTTTTCTGTTTGTTGTTGTGTGTGTTTCTTTGTTTTTTTGCCTCTGTCCTTTGACACAGTGAACTCTTAACTAAGTGTTTTTCATGATCTTGACTAATTCTGCTCTTTTCTAGTCTTCTTGGAAAAGTATTTTTCATCTCTGAATTTATGTATGTGTGATTTCCTGGAGTAGTTAAGAAATGGGTTTCCATATACACCTTATTATTTGTAGAGAGAACTTAATGTAATATTTATAATTGGGCTTTTGAATCAGACTAGGACATCATATCCTGGCTCTATCATTTACTGTCTGTATGCCTGCACATCATGTAGACTTAAAGGGTCTTCGATTTTCTCATCTGTATGCAGAGAATACATTCATGATTGTCTCTCAAGGTCATGGAGAAGATTAGTTGGATTATGTATATTAATATGAAGCATTAAAAGAAGCAGCTGTCATTTTTGGCTTTCTTATGTTTGTCTGCCCTAGGTATTTGCTTTGTCCACGCATCCTTACGGTTGCCGAGTGATTCAACGGATCCTGGAGCACTGCCTCCCTGACCAGACACTGCCTATCTTAGAGGAGCTGCACCAGCACACCGAGCAACTTGTGCAGGTAGTGGAGTTGCCAGTAGAGTAACTGCAAACACCTGGGGGCTCGTGCAGGCCCAGAGCTTGTGTGTTTTCTCAGCACAGGTATCCTTTCCAGTAAAGGTTAATGTTAATGTGTTTAAAATGCCCACTGAAGCTTTGGGCAGGTTTTCATTTATACCAGCCTGCTTATTGTTTTGTGAATATAGGTAGTGACTAGAGCCTGGCCTTGGAGCAAAGAGGATGTGCCTGCCAGAGCTCTGCTTTGGACTCACTAGCTATGTCATCATGGGCAGGTCATTTAATTTGTCTGGGTCTGTTTCATCATTTAAAATGAACTAAGTGGATTAATTGATTTCTTTCTAGCTTTGATACTTTGTCTTTCATCTACCACTAAAAATTTCTTCCACATCATACTAACCATTTGTCCATTTTCTACGTGTAGAATGTTATACTGAAGAAATTTTTTTTTTAAAGCCATAATTTGTTTCTATTTAAAATTTCAAGAGACTTTAAAAAGGCTCAAAGGCCCAAAGATGTCCTGGAGCAGTTTTTTTTTGTTTTGTAGGGGTTTTTTTTGGTGAGAAGTATGATATTGTAAATTATTAATTAGTCCTTGTAGAAGAATTTGAAAGTGCAGAAAGCAGCAACAAAAGAAAAGAAATGATCCATAATCCTACCATCCAGAAGCAAACACATTTGGCATTGGCCATTAAAAAAATACTACTTGTATGTTCTTAATTTTTTACATCTTAGAAATAAATATTTTTGCCTCTAGAATTGCTTGCACACATTTATTCTCTCAAAGATCTTCCACTTTAGATAAATGAGTAAATATATTTGTAATATTATTTAATTAGGCATTGTCTGTTTTGTTGGACATAAGCTTTGTTTCCAGTTTTTCGTTGTACATAGGTACAGTGAAATTTGTACTTTGTTTATTCTTACCTCCCTAGCCCCCTGCCACCGCCTTTTTTTTTCTCCAGTTTTGAGGAGGCTTGCTTTTTTGTAGATAATATTTTATGAAGAACCCAACTAGATCTTTTGGGCATAAAAATATTAGAAATATTCTATTGTGTAATAGTGATGTATTCCTATTTTGTGATCATAGGAAAATTGTCATTACCTATTTAAAAATTCTTATGTGTTCATTAGTATTCAGGTAAGCCATCATAATGCTACAGGAAAATAGGTTGATTAGATGTAAGGATTTTGGTAATCCACTGAACTCATTTCTATATGAATTTTATTTCTTTTGCTGTTTCTCAAACAGGATCAATATGGAAATTATGTAATCCAACATGTATTGGAGCATGGTCGTCCTGAGGATAAAAGTAAAATTGTAGCAGAAATTCGAGGCAATGTACTCGTATTGAGTCAGCACAAATTTGCAAGGTACGGGCTTTGAATTACAGTAGACAGTTTTTTAGAAGAGAGGATTAAATAGTATTTTAGGTCTAGAGAGAAAAATAATTTTCATTCTTTTAAAAAAATATTTTTCTTAACGTATGCATAGTTTAATTAAAACAGTAGATTGTTCGATTATAAAGTATAAAACATAAGAAGTCCCGTAGTGGGCTCCTCATTTCCCTAGTCAGCCCACAGTGTAAGTTTTGTTCTTTGGTAAACAGCTTTCATGAACTCACTTGTTCAGAGTTGTGACATGTTCTTTACTCAGTTTCCTCTTTGGCACCTGCATTGCGAGGCAGTATATCGATCGTATCTGCGTATAGGCCTTTGTATTCTTAGAATCTCTTTCTCATTCTTCATATTGCCAGCTCAAGAATAAAATGCACTGGTCATTCCCGGCTGTGAAAGATGTCTAGATGCCTTATAGTAGCAGGGGCTGGGGAGGAAATCGATGGCCCGCCAGTGGCTCAGTAGTATGGTCTTCTAAACAGAATTTGCGTTTGCTGCCATACACACAACATAGTAGTTCATGTTTTTCTTCTCTGGTTTTTAGGATAAATTTCAACGCAGATGTGACGTAATCTTGATGTTTTTAAATGGCTTATTTTTAGTTTGTAAAAATGTTATACCATTATAGCATGGAAAATACAGAAAAGAAATAAAAAGAGTCATTGTCTCAATAGCCTAACCATATTAGGGACATCTCTTAGAGCTTGTGTTACACACACACACACACACACACACACACACACACACACACACCCAACTTCCCCCATAGGGATCGGAATCTCTTAGGTCTCTTCTTTGGGTCACTGTCCTATTTACTTTTTTGTTTATTGTATTTAATATCACCCTTGGATATAGCATAGTATTAATATTACAATAGCCTTGTGTTCAGATAAGGACCGAGCAGCTATTGTGGGCACTGCTGTCCCACAGATAATAATTATAAGTTATGGACAAAATGCCAAAAAAACTATGAAGGCATTAGAGAATAAACAAGAGCAGGCAGAATGGAGGGTGGGAGTGGGACTGTTGATACTTGGAAGCAGGTAATTGCACTGAGGAAATTGCCCTTCCCTCATTTAATTTTTTTTTTTTTTTACTATATTAAGATATAATTGTCATACAACAGTGTGCAACTTTGAGGTGTATAATGTGTTGGTTTGATACATTTATATATTGCACTATAACTACAGTTGCATTAGCTAGCACCTTAATGTCACATTAAGACATTATGTTGAGAACCATTATGATCTAGTCTCTTAGCAGCTTTGAAGTTTATAATACAGTATTGTTGACTATAATCAGGAAATTTCCTGTTTTTATTGGCCTTAGCCTGTAGGCCCTTCCAAGTCTGCTCCATGCTGGGCTCCTACATTGGGATGGAAAATCTCTAGAATGCCCAGAAGGCAGACTTTGGGGCACTCATGGCAGTAGAACTGACAAAAAGTGACAGGGAAGAAATCTGGAAAGGAAGAGAACCATGGAGGAGGTGGAGAGGCCTATATTTAAACTTCCCAAGTTATCTGGTTGCTCTCAAATCACATTTGCATGGGATACACTCTAGGCAGCCCAACGAAGGCTAAAAGAAATAAACTGAGTTCACCTGCTGCCTACTGTGTGGGAGAAGTTTGCAGTTTGAGTTTAGTCAACTTAACTCCACTAAAAAAAAAAAAAAGGAGTTGGAGGAGTAATATTCTTTGGAGAAACATAACAGAACTCAGTTTCTACAGGATATCATCTTCTTCGTCTAGATAATAGGAAAATGTGACCTGTACTCAACAAAAGCAAAAAAACAGAAAATGAAAGAGCAAAACAACACACCACCACCCAGATCTGGAGTTAGCAGAGGCGGGTCATAAAGTAGCTAGTGTCCTTATCGCCCAGGATGTAATAAATTCACTACATAGACTTAAGAGCAAATTAGAGATACCGGAAGAAAGAGCCATTAAAATGGAAAACAGATGAATAGGAATACACCAGAAAATAGGTTAGTGGCTTTCTTACATTTTTGGTGACACAGGGTACAAAGTAAATTTTTCATTGACTTTGCATGCACAGGCGCACACACACGTAACTGAAGCTGTTTTGTCTGTGGTTGAGCCTGATGCTTACTATTCTGTTTTCATTTTTTGAAATAAAGCTGTTCACAAATCACTAAGTTGATTTTAGCCCCACAAATGGTCTGGGAACCATAGTTTCAGAAATACTAGAATAAACTTTAAAGACTGAAACAATATCTATTATGTATTAAGGTGGACGCCAAATGGGATCCCATAGTGGTAGCTGATGACCTGCTTGCGTTGCAGCCAGAATGACTGCCCTGTCCCCAACCCAGTTTGCACAAGGTCATGTTCTGCTCCTAACCACGTTGTAGGGGAACGTGGGCCTGGGGTGGATGAAGATACACCCAGCCAAGCAGTCAGGAAAAGTGTTGAGTTCTTTGTCTGAACAATTGAAGATTATGGCTGGCTTTGTGCTCTCTGAACCAGCCCAGTAATATCTTAACTCCCTTTTCTACTAAGGGAGAAGCCAGCGGCTATTAGGTGATTCATATCCACATTGCCATGTCTTCAGCTCATGCTAGAATTGCATAGTACTGTAGAAGGAAGGGGAAAAAGTTTTTCTATGTCGCTGTATCAGATGGGAGAGGCTGTTGTCTTAATTAGACTTGATAGGTTAACTCGCCAGATATGATACATTTCTTCATTCAATATGTCTGCTGAGCCTCTCTTAACACATTGCGGACGGAGCACGAGAATTCTCGCTTCATATTACACAGTGTTTTACAAAGTATCATACTTTAAAAATATATTAGCTTCTAAGAACACGTAATAAACTACTTCAAAATACAATGGATATTTAATTTTAAAGTGTGCCTTTAACATTTATGTAAAACATTTTTTTGTACTCGTTCAATAGAAACTTAATCTGGCCACTGGTAAAGCTAGCAATAAAACTACATGTCCGCAATGTGTGAAGTACCAAGCAGAGCTTGGCACTAGGTATATAGACATAAGTAAGACTTGTTTCTGGCTTCATAAGCCCACAGAGGTGGAGACAGATTTTGATTCATGTTGAGATTACGCTCATTAACCGGTTCAGCTATTAACCAGTCTTGTGAACCTGTGTTCAAGTTCCTTCACTTACCTGGGCTTGTTACCCTCCTCTGTTAGAGGCTGGCCTCGGCCATGGTTCACATTGGAAGCCACAGATGGCAAAGGTGGAGAGTCTCAGAGCCAAGCAGTTGATGAATTCATCTTCTAAAAATGTTAAGATCTTTTGCTGCTTATTCTGAGGTCAGGGCAGAGGCCAGACAAGCACTAGGTCCCTTTTCTAAGTGATGTTCCTGGATTTGTCTCGTTACAGCAATGTTGTGGAAAAGTGTGTCACTCATGCCTCCCGTACGGAGCGTGCTGTGCTCATCGATGAGGTCTGCACCATGAACGACGGTCCCCACAGTGCCTTATACACCATGATGAAGGACCAGTATGCCAACTACGTGGTCCAGAAGATGATCGATGTGGCAGAGCCAGCCCAGCGGAAGATAGTCATGCATAAGGTAGGGAGGTGGGCAGATCTCAGAGAGGAAATGTGTAGGGCCTTGGGTTCTTCGTGTTTCTGAAATGCAGAGGAGGGTGGACATCTTGCTTCTTTTTGCAGACTTTGTCACTAAGCTATGTCTCATGCTGTGCTTTTTCCTTTTATCTGAGGTGGCCATTGTCCCATGTTTGCAACCCCTCCTTTATCAATAACTCACTGTTGTGAAAGAGTCTTAAACTCATTCCTTGTGAGGGATTTCCCTCCCTGATTTTAGGCCAAGCTTTTATCCATTTGCTCCTGAGAGACCAGCTTCTCAGTCCAACAAATCAGTCTGCCTGCCTCATTTCCTTTCTCCCTCCTTTCTAATTCATTCACCCACCACCATTTACCGACCAAGTGCCTGCCCAGTGCAGTGGCTGGCCTGGCACATTGACCTGATGCCCACTTTGTGCCAGACACCAGCACAGAGATGACCAAGATGATCCCTGCCCTCAGAGCACAGTGGGGAAGAGCGATGGGAAGCAGTGGTGAGAGCACGTGCTCCGAGTCTTGGAAGGAAGGCTTTTTCTAAAAAAAAATCCTCACCTGAGGATATTTTTTTAAATTGATTTTTAGAGAGAGTGGAAGGGGAAGAGGGGAGAGCGAGAGAGAGGGAGAGAGAAACAATGATATGAGAGAGATACATTGCTTGGTTGCCTCCCGCATGCACCCTGACGGGCTGGGGATTGAACCTGCAACCTAAGGACGTGTCCTTGGCTGGGGATCGAACCCGCAATTCTTTGGTATATATACTCTAACCACTGAGAAACACTGGCCAGGGCTGAAGAAAGGCTTTGCATGAGGAGAAGTCCACGCTAAAGAGGAGTCAGACAGGAAAAGAGAACAGGGACAGATCGAAAGCGCTGGGTACTGTGAGTGGGAGCTGACCAAGAAAGCACCTGCAGAGGCCAGTGATTCAGGAACAGTCAGAGCAGGTCCATCCAGCCCCACAGGACCATAGGGCCCAGGCAGCCAGATTAACCCCCAGGTAGGTGTGCTGCCAGCCTTGGGGTGCTTCTCATCTAAACCCTCAGCCTTTGGGCTTTGAACTCACTCAGCCCTTCTCAGTGGGAGAGGATGCCTTGGTCTGGCAGTGATGAGCCACTTGCCCTCACTGAGAGCAAAGTTCAGTGATGAGAATCTTTGTTATGGACTCGAGTTCTGAGCCAGACGAAGCACCTGCCACCTCCAGTTCAAAGCAGAACAAAACAAAACACTGCATTGGTGTTGGTGATGGCAATTGAAGGCTGGGGGAGTCCAAAGTCCTTGTGGTGTGAGGCTCCTGGAAATGCGGGTCAGGAGGCTGGTGAAGGCGGAATATAGGAAACATGCAGAAATGTAGAGCACGTCCACTCACCCACAAAGACTCATGAAGCACATTCTCCATAGCAAGCCCTCCTCCAGCGGGGCTGCTCTGTGGTGAGAACGACAGTGTTTGCTCACGTGGTGCTGCAGGGGAATTCTGGGGAGGCTGTGTGACAGTGTGGAAAGGTGCCTCTTCTAACGTGGGGGCACAGAGATGGTTCCCCAAGAGAGTGACTTTTTTTAAAAAAAAAAATATATATATATTTTACTGATTTTTTACAGAGAGGAAGGGAGAGGGATAGAGAGTTAGAAACATCAATCAGCTGCCTCCTGTACACCCCCTACTGGGGATGTGCCTGAAACCAAGGTACATGCCCTTGACCAGAATCGAAGCTGGGACCCTTGAGTCCGCAGGCTGACGCTCTATCCACTGAGCCAAACCAGTTAGGGCAAGAGAGTGACATTTGAATAATGTCACTTTCCAGGCTGAGGGAACCTGGGTTGTGAAGGTTTGTGAGGAGACTGGATGGGAAGCTGTTGAAATAGTGAAGCCAAGAGCCAATCAAACCTGTCTCCCCCAAACTAACAGGTATAAAGCTTCCTGGACATCTGAGCTTCCCCAGAGTTTCCAAAGTCCTAACTGGAGCCCCTGGAGCTCTGGCGGGGCCGCCAGGAACACGGGAGTCGAGTGCAGGGTGGACGTTCTGAGTGATCAGTGTGGGTATGTAGTGGGCCAGCACTTGCACATTGACAGCAGTTCAGAACGCATAAAGGCCAATTGCAGAAGCCGCAGATCTGCGCCACAGATCCTGTCTAGAAGAGATTAGCTAACCAAGCTAAGCAACAACAGGATTTTCTAAAAAACCAAAAACGTTAAGCCAAGAGGTGGTGGTGGCTTTGGAATTGAAGAGAAGTGGAAAGAATGCGGGTTAGCAGTTAAATTGGATGAGGAAGTTGAGAGAGGAGGATGAGTGCCAAGAATCTAAAAATCTAAGAGGTTTTAGCTCTTTCACTGCTAAGCCCTAACCTTTGTAGCAAGAGGAAGCATTGGGAATGGAGCATGTGATTACGCTTCACCTCCCATTAAATCAAGTACAAATAGGTTCCATAATATGACACATGTGCGTACACATGGGTGGTTAGTGTTTTTGTCCTGATAAGAGAGGTGTAAAGGTTGAGTGGCTGAACTCATTGGCCATCCCATCCCAGGGAGAGCAAGGGGGTTGAATTTCAAATACTAATGACAAAAGCATTAGCACGCACACAGTCCTCACTACAACCCAAATGAAAGTGAAGCATTATAGATTTTTTTTTTTACAGGTGAATTTAGGGATGTTGGGTAGATGTCTAGGTTGCACAGCTCAGAATTCAAGCCAAGGACTATTATGAATAAGTTTCCCTCGTAGGCTTCTCGGTGAGAATGCCGTAGCTGCTATAGGTCTGTCTCCTCTGTGGGCTGTAGAAGTGGTTTCAGGAGCCACTTGACCCTTCCTTGCTTTGAGGACACAGATCGAGAGACAAACAGTTGTCCAGAGTGTTTGAGAACGCAAGTGCGAGTGGGATGCAGATGCGTGTGCGAGGATGGGTGGTCCACAAGTGGTTGTGAACACACTGTGTGACAGGCTGTAACTGACGTGTGTAAGAAATTCCATGAGCTCACAGAAGAGGAATGGTGGTTCCAGAGAGGCAGCGTCTGTCTGGTTGTCTGGGATGCACAGTAATTCTCCACGTGGATCTGCCCAGGGCGGGGAGAACAGAGGAGAATGCTGAGAGAGCTGAGCCCAGCTGGGCTTGCGGAGGGTGAAGGATGAGACTGGCGCAGCAGGCAGTGCCATGAGAGCACAGTGCGGAGAAAAAGAAGTTCTGGAGGAGCCAGATAGTTGGGCTCCAGTATCTGTGCCATCCCTTGTTAGCCGTTGGACTTTGGGTGAGTGACTTCACCACTAGGCCTTCATCTTTTTCATCCATAAAACGGAGATAATCACACCTTCCTTAGGAGGCTTACATGAACCAGCCTGGCTCATGTGAGTCATTTTCTTTGTCAGTAGTAGCTTTCTGTGATCCTCTGTGAACTGGAGGTCAGGTTTAGGTGGTGAGCTTAGGACCCATGGTCCCTGAAAGTCCCCTCTCAGAAGGGCCGAGGGCGTGCCCTGGGAAGGCTCTGTGCAGTGGGCAGTGTGATTGTCAGTGAGAATGTCCTTTCTCCACATGCTGTCCTCGGAGTGAGTGGTCCGTGGCTCTTCAGTCTCCAAAGCCCTCACGTCCTGCATCAGCGCTCAGGATAGGTGCTGACTCTCCTCTGATGGGTCAGTAGGGTCCTAGAATTCGGTGCTTTGGCTGCACCAGTGAGAGGTATTGCTGTGGCCTGGCATTTGCAGCGCCCAGAAGCATGCTGGGAGCATGCATGCCCAACTCTGTTTTCAGGCCAGAGTGACGCAAACTGTGCTTCCTCCTCAGATCCGGCCCCACATCGCGACTCTTCGGAAGTACACCTATGGCAAGCACATCCTGGCCAAGCTGGAGAAGTACTACATGAAGAATGGCGTTGACTTAGGGCCCATCTGTGGCCCCCCTAATGGTATTATCTGAGGCAGTGTCAGCCCTGTCCCCTCATTCCCACTGACCTCACTGGCCCACTGGCGAATCTAGCCAGCAACCAGAAATGTTCTAATGTAGAATCTGGAATGGTAAATGGTTGTGCCAGGATTACCCTCCAAAAAAAGGAATCAAATCCACAAGTGGAAAAGCCTTTGTAAATTTGTTTAATTTTATTACACATAACATGTACTAATTATTTTTTTTAATTGACTAATTGCCCTGTTGTTTTACTGGTGTATAGGATACTTGTACATAGGTAACCAATGTACATGGGAGGCCACATATTTTGTTCAATGCTGTATCTATATTCCACATGTGGAAACTTTCAGGGTGGTTGGTTTAACAAAAAAAATTTAAAAACACAGAAAAAAGGTTTTTAACTCATTTGCCTTGCTGGCAAGTTTTGCAAATAGCTCTTCCCCACCTCCTCATTTTAGTAAAAAACAAAAACAAACAAAAAAACCTGGGAAGTTTGAATTTTAGTTAAATGAGCCCATACTGGCATTTAACACTGTTTATAAAATATATATATATACATATATATATATAAAATGAAAATTGTTTCAGAGTTGCTAAAGCTTCATTTTATGACATTAAGTTTATGAAACGTCTAAAATTGCCTTTTTTGGAGACTATTATGCTGAAGAAGATGGTGTAGTCCGTTTTGTGATGAGGAGACATGAACTCCCAGAATGTCTTTCAAGGCCGGGCGGGTGTAATTCTTTACTGCCTGTTGGATTTTTCTTTTAACATTGAAAGGCAAAATCTTGATTATTTAGCATGAGAAAAAAAATCCAACTCTGCTTTTGGTCTTGCTTCTATAAATATATAGTGTATACTTGGTGTAGACTTTGCATATATACAAATTTGTAGTATTTTCTTGTTTTGATGTCTAATCTGTATCTATAATGTATCCTAGTAGTCGAACATACTTTTGATTGTACAATTGTACATTTGTATACCTGTAATGTAAATGTGGAGAAGTTTGAATCAACATAAACACGTTTTTTGGTAAGAAAAGAAAATTAGCCAGCCCTGTGCATTCAGTGTATATTCACACCTTTTATGGTCGTAGCACATAGTGTTGTATATTGTAAATTGTAATTTCAACCAGAAGTAAATTTTTTCTTTTGAAGGAATAAATGTTCTTTATACAGCCTAGTTATATGTTTAAAAAGAAAAAAAATAGCTTGGTTTTATTTGTCATCTAGTCAGACTGTAGCGAGATCCTTTCTAAATGTTACTTAAGATGATTCAGTTCACGGTAGTGTTTTTTTAATCCTAAAAAGTAATGTTTTGCTTATTTTGTGACAGTCAAAAGGACGTGCAAAGTTTGGCCCTGCCCCAGCTTTCCTTACAATCAGAGCCCTCTCACCTTGTAAAGTGTGAACTGCCCTTCCTTTTTGTACAGAAGATGAACTGTATTTTGCATTTTGTCTACTTGTAAGTGAATGTAACATACTGTCAAATTTCCTTGTTTGAATATAGAATTGTAACACTACACGGTGTACATTTCCAGAGCCTTGTGTATATTTCCAATGAACTTTTTTGCAAGCACACTTGTAACCATATGTGTATAATTAACAAACCTGTGTATGCTTATGCCTGGGCAACTATTTTTTGTAACTCTTGTGTAGATTGTCTCTAAACAATGTGTGATCTTTATTTTGAAAAATACAGAACTTTGGAATCTGAGTTTGTGCTGTACCTTTTTTCTCTAATATAGTCCCCAGGACAGCCCTTTCGTTGTTTGTGCCTTTCTTCCTGCTTGTTTTGTTTTTTGTTTTGTGAGGGGACAGGAGTGGGAGGGAAAGAGACTTGAAATAGGGACAGGATATCAAACTTGTTCTTGAGCCCAGTTTGACCTGAAGATGTTGGGGTAGCCTGTTGAGTGCTTTCAGAATCAAGACACTCCACGTTAATCCAGATTTCCAACTTCTACTGAACACGCAGAATACTCGCCTCCCTGGGCCCGAGTCTGCACACCCATCCGGGAAGCATCGTCAGAAAGCCTGTGCCCTGCAATTTGCCCTGTTCCCTCTGGTGAGCATCACTGCTTCTTCCTGGCCTTGGCAGCACTTGTGAGCCCAGGGTCTAGATTAAGATGCAGTCAATTACAAATGTCACACAACCGAGTTAAATGTTGGGGCACCTGCTTTTCTGAGGCGGGTTCTGTAGGTGAGGCATCTGGATGGCTGCCCAGGCTGTCCAGGCCTCCCCTCCCTGAGCCCCTTTCCCCTCTGGGCTGCTCCCATCCTCACTCTGCCCACCACGCCCACATGCTGAGGCCGGCCCAGGATGGCCTAGTGTCCTAGCTTGCTCATCTTATCCTCCAGTTGGGGACCTCTTCCAGCTCTTGGCACAGGAGGCTCTGGGTCACTAAGGTGGCTGTCACCATGTCTAAGGGTGCCCACCTTCCCTTCTCTAACTGCCACTGAAACATGGGTCTGTGTTGGCAATTACAGGACCAGGGAGGCCGGGTGGGAGCCCCATAGCCTCATGTCTGCAAGTGGAGCCTCAGGGTGGCAGCTGGAGATCACTGTGTGGTCCCCTCCCAAGGGCAAGGGAGAGTCACTAACGCCTGAGGTGCCAGGAATAAATGGAGGCTAAAGGAAGCTGAGGTCTTCCCCCAGCCTTCTGCTGAGGCCGCAGTGGGCCCACCCGAGAGCATGCTGGGGCGTTGCCGACTGTGGCTCTGGAATCAGAGGGCTTCCCATACGCATCCCACCCACCTCTCACCGTGTGCCCTTGGCAGGTGCACTCATCTTTAACCAGATTCCTTGCTGGAAATGGGTTGAAGGTGAAAACAGGCGAAGTGGCTCTCGCAGCACATCGTGGAAAGTCATGGTACTAAACTGGTTTTCCTAGGCCTGTGCAGAAGCAGTTGAGCCAAGTAGGGGGTTGGGTTTCTTCCCATTTGCCTCCTGCCTGGGACCTCGGGAGAGCCCGTTCGAGCTGTTTCCTCCAAGATTGCAGCGATGCCTCCCCGAGCTTTGGTGGGACAGAGTTGTTAGTAAATGCCACTGCCTGGCGCATAGTAGGCACTCACGGGTTGGTTTTCTTTTCCACCTGGACTGCTTACACATAACATGGTTTTTTGTTTGTTTTTTAAAAAAATCTCCTTAATACTCTTAGCATTTGATGAAATGTTTCATTTCTGTGGGGTTTTCTAGTGGTAACAAAGCAAGATCCTCGCTCAGAAATGGGAGCACCCCCATGGCCCCTCCTGTTTGAAGCCTGTGTCTTGGAAGCCTGGGGAGGCTTTTCAGCCGGACAAATAGAGGGTGTGACTTGAAGGGCCTTTTATCACCTGGGTCATCTTTCTGAGGCCGTTTCCCTCTCTGCGAAATGAGGGAGGTAAATGGTAGCACCCATGTGAAAGTTTGGTTGTGAGAATGAAATCATGTCCAGCGCAGCGCCCGCACACGTGTAATACATTTATCACCGGTCACCGTCAGCACCAGGTTGTGGTGAGCAACACAATCCTTGTCCCTGATGTAAAGAAGTTCCCATAAAGTCATTGGTCCTGAACCGACTCTGCCAGGTGCCTAAAGAGATGGTTTATACATACTCTTTTTTAAAATTAAATTTGATTTTCCCCCATCATCCCCCCTATCCCCTCTTCTACCTCCCCCCACTCCTCTCTCCTCCCCTCCCCCTGTTGTCTGTGTTCATGAGTTCTTTCTCTCTTTTGCTACCCCCCCCCACACACACACACACACATATTCTTTTATTCACAATAATCCTGCAAGGACTGTCGTTATTTTCTCCCATTTCATAGATATGCAAGTAGCTTCTGGGTTCTGATGGATCAGACCAACTCTGGGCCTGAGGCTCCCCCCCCCCCCGCTCCCCCCCCCTCCCCTCCGCCAGGGTACGCCCCTCCCTCTGCAGGATTGAGTTTCGCGGAGCAGGCTGAACTCAGCTCAGCATCCACGTCCTCATTGGACTGGTCACCACTGTCCACTGCCACCAAGTCTGCCCAAGGACGTGGGTACTGGGCTGCCACCAACGGATGCCCGCATTCGTGGTCTCCCCTGCAGAGTCCCCCCCAAGGTAGAGTCCCCACCCAGTTTATATAACGATCCTTTACCTGGTCAGTGCTTCACAGAGCACATGCACATTTGTGAGTCCTCGCACCCTCACGGAAGCCTGGCAGAGTGAGGTAACACGAGGTTATCAGTCCGTTACACAGGTGAGGAGTTTGAGACCCAAGCCACAGGAGTCGCTAACCAAGTAAGGGTTGAATCTGAGGGCTCCTGCCTCCAAGGCCAGGGCTCTATCCAAGTCATCGTACTCGCGCCCCCTCCATCAGCCCCAGGAATAACAGTCTTCCCTTTGGGTGTTGGGTTCCCGGTGTGTGCGCGAGGCACTGGAGAGTGAAGCATTTGGGCCAGGAAACCTGTGGCTTCATGTAGTTACCAACTATAGCCACAGGAGGGTGCTGCTGCCTAAAGAAAGCATCATACATAGCGACCTAAGGGCTCAAGGGGACAGGTCAGGGCTGAGATGGCTTTCCCAGAGACCAGAGGTCTGGCATCTGCCCTAAGACTAAGCTTCCCCGCTTCCTCCCCAGCCGCTCCTGGGCATAGGGTTGTCCCTCACTCTGGCTTGGGGTGGCAGGGTATGGTCACCGATCTGGCTCAGGCCCTAACTTTGCCGTTGACTTACTTCGTCACCTCTGGCTTCATTTCCCCAACTGCTACCCACTGCAGGTAGCCCAGCCCTCCCACTGTCTCAGGGCTGGTATGAGGCCAGATGGTTGGGGCTCTGTTAACGTGACCTGAGTCCTGTTGACTCTTTCTGGGCCCACGTCCCCATCCTATGCACCAAGCTTGCCAACAGCTAAAACCACCAAGTCTTTTTCGGATGGATCGCTGCCCAGCTTCAAATCCCAGCTCCACTGGCCCCATGTGACCTTTGTGAGTACATTTACCCTCTTATTTTCCTCATCTGGAAAATAGGAATAATAATAGTTCTATTTCACAGGGTATCTTGGAAGCACTAGGCACGAGGCTGGGTGCATAGTGAGCCAAAAATAGGAGTTGTTTTTATTATTATTAATTATTATTATTCCCTCCCATTTCCCCCTGCTATGTTGGGAACATTAGAGTTTTTACTAGTGTGACCATCTCATTTATCCTGCAAACTGCGACACTTTTAAGCATGAAAGCGGATGCACTAAATCATTACCACATGGGGTACGGTCCCTCCAAGGGGGCCCCGCCTCCTGCTGTTCTCACCCTCTTGTGTGCGGAATGGGGCTGCCTGGCAACAATACTGTGAACAGGGTGGAGCGTGACTTCGAGGCGAGGCCACACAAGACACCGTTGCTCCACGTCGCCCCAGCGTGCTCTCTCTAGGATCACTTGGTCGCTTTCCAGGACGCAGTGTGACAAGGGCCACGTGGGAGGGGCCGAGGCCTCCTGCTGTTAGCCAGTGTCAACTGGCCAATCCTGACTCCTGGCCTCATGAGAGACCCCCCCACCCCATCCACCCCCCAAACAGGACCACCCAGCTCAGCTGCTCCCGAACTCCTGATCCGCAGAAGCTGGGTGAAGTACTTTGAGTTTTTGTGGTTTTAAGCCGCTGTGTTTGGGGTAACTTATTATGGACCAAGAGATAACAAATACACAGCACAAAACCTCGGGTAACCCGGGCTGGTCCTGGGCAGATCAGAAGGCCCGTTTCTCATGTCTTTTTTGAGGCAGATGCTACCCTACCCTGTGCTGACCCAACCCACCCACCTCCGGCCTGGAGTGTCCCAAGCAGGGAATGGCTGGAAATAATGGCCAGTTGGGTTGGACTGTGGGTCTTGCTCTGAGCTGGGTGCCACCTCGTGTTACCTTGTTCACTTCCCTCAAACCCGGGGAGGGGGCGGCAGTCACTCACGCTAACTCCAATGGGAGGAAAGAGGCCCCAGGCCACTGGCAGGAAGTGGCAGACAGCAAGATTTGACCCCCGATTCCCCTAGGCCTCTCCTCAGAGCCCATGCCCGCCAGCCCCTCCCTGCTGCTCCCCTTGCCAGGCCCTGCCCCAGGGCCCTTGCACTGGGAATTCCAGTTGGCCTCCTGTTTACGGGGAGGAGACCGAGGCCCAGGGTGAGGGAAGTGACCTGCTCAGGGCCACCAGACGGTGGTCCCATGTGAATGGGCGTATCTCCTGCCCTGGAATGCCAGCCCCCTGGGCGCCCAGGTCTGTACAGCCTGGACCTTAACAAGGGCTCAGCAGCTACAGGGTGGGGTTGGAATGCCGGTCTCTATAAACTGCAAAAAGCCGAGACACCCCCATGACACATTAAATATCGCAATGACAGCTGTGTTCCCTCGGGTTCCATGGCCCGGAGGACAGGGGACCTCCCAACCTCGCACCGGTCACTCCCCTGCACCCCTTCTTTGCTTGGCACCAGCTGGGCTGCTCTAGTTCCAGCGTGAGTTGAGAAAGGAAAAATATTTTTAGAGGCAATTTTTTCTTCCAGGAAAATGACTCCAAATGTGCAATTTATTCCCAGGAATAAGGGAACTAACATTCTACTGTTAGTAGAATGGCTTCTGCTATGGCAGTGCCTTCTGCCCTCTTCTCTCTCTCCCTCCCTCTCTCTCTCAACCTCTTTTTCTCCCTCCCTTGCCATCCTGCCTTCCCTTCCTCTCTTCCTCCACATCCCTGCTGCCCCTCCGCCCCCTCTCACAGGGAAG